GTCTTCCTCTTTCTTCTACTTAGACACATGAAGATTCACGAGAAGGATCCAAACAGCACTGCAAGTACAACTCCCCCATCTCCTCTGAAGCGCAGACGATTATCCTGTAAGAGGAAACTTAGTCATGAGCCTGAGACAGACAGAGAGGAGCGAACCCCAGCAAAAAAGGTTCTTTAAAATGCATGTTGCAAAATCTTTTTCTGACCGCCTTTTGCCCCCATTTTGATTTCTAAGTCTCTTGCCTTGTACATTTACCTAATTGTGCATAAAAGAACCTACACAGAAAACAATGTCAGGATAAAATCATAAATATTTTAAAAATACCAATGCATAAATGTCTCGTTTACATTTCACTTTTTAAGTTGTTTTTTCTTTTTGTATTTCAATTTGGAGAAAAAAAATTAGATGGGGAAGAGGGAGAATAAATTCCTTCATTTAGGTTGAAACTCAGCATGATATATGGAGGATTGAGTTATTTTTTTGATAACCTTAACAGTCTTGAAAAGCCTTTATCACTCAAGTCACTAATATTTACTTTCAATCTTGACAATAGTTTAAATTTTTTCTCTGGAAAATTTATAGTCAGTTTGTAGTTCATTTTACATTGATTCTCCCATACTAGCATATTGCTGCAATGTTTATTTTTCAGACATTGCAAAAAACATGTATTCATTTGAAAAAAATAAGTTGCCATTAGCATTTTTAAAATAAAATATTTCTAATGTACTTAAGCTTCATAGCAGCTTGCTTATACAGAATATAAACTCAATGCCAAATTAAATTTGACAGTGAACCTTTATGCTCTTTAGGCTAGCAACAACTCAATGTAGACATCTCTTGTTTCTGTTCCTTCTTTATTTCCTGTAATTAGAATATGTCAGTAGAAACCATGAACAATTTTACTGCTCTTCTCTGGTCCGCTCGAGTTAGAGACTGGCAGTGATTCATTGGCATAAATAACCTAGGCTGACGGCCTGGTTTGTGAAGTGGGGAGGGGAGGAGTAATGTTGTTAGTGAACATCACACTCACATTTTTCCTATTTAAGTAGTTTATAAATTGTTTAGCTCTCATAAGAGATGATGATCTGAGGCGATGGGGCTGCACCTTCTAAAGAACTAGTCAACATTTAGCTCTTGTCTCTTATCGATCCTGCAGCGCCCTGTCAGTCTGTGAAGTGAGAGTCATTTTCAGTAGCCTGTAGCAAAGTCATGGGCTGTTACATTGTGACAGGCTCTGGAGTGCATGTTTGCCTCCCTGCTTGAGTCTAGTCCTTCTGACCTGCGTTTTCATCTGCCTGAAGGTTGTCGAGGAGGCTCAGTCCAGTGACGTGGAGAAGAAGGCTGAGGAGGAAGTTTATCATTGTCCCGTGTGTTTTAAAGAATTTGTATGCAAGTATGGGCTGGAGACCCACATGGAAACCCATCCTGATAACTCACTGAGGTAAGAAATAGGCCTGGACTTTCTCCCTGTTACCAGAGGGTTGTGTGAGAGGCTCGTTCCACCCTTTACACTGTTAACAATCTCCGTTTGTGGTTTTGAATGTTTAACCTCTCTGCCCCAGACACTTCTTCTGAGGATGAGGAGCAATACAGATTGTCTCACAGGGGCACTGTGATGCTTCCATGCTGTTTGCAGATATGGCTGGAAAAGCTGGCAAAAATGAAAAATTTGATCTAACATGAAATTTGTAAAATTGTAACCTGCTCTATGTACAGAGTTCTTTGAAGATGAAAAGTATGTTATAATTTTTCATTAGGGATGTTAAATACTGTGTACTTGAATAATTATGTAACTGCATCAAGTTACACAGCTATTCAATACTCCTGGGAGTGGGGCTGGCTGCCAGCACATTCCCGGCCCCACTCCCATGGAGCGCCCTAACACCCCATGATGCTGCCTCTGATACAGAGGCAGTGGGGGGGAGGGATGTAGTCAACAGGATTAACCAATAAGACCAGGCTTATCAGTTAATCATATAGTTGACTACACATTGACATCCCTAGTTTTAATTATTAACTGCCTTCCCTCTTTGGGTTGGAGGGTGGGAGAAGAAGGAATAGATGGAGAGGATGATTACAGTAACTGATCATGCAGAAATAATTTTTGTTTTAAATTAGATTGAATAAGGGCAGAAGATTTCCCATATATAATTAGTAACCATATAAGAATGTACACTTGTTTGCTTTACCTTTTGGAATGTAAAATGTCAAACAATTGTTAAAGAACAATCTTCAGTTAGACAGTTTTTTAGATGTCATCTCATTAGGTTAAGAAGATTTTATTTTTTTTTATCAGAATGACTGCTGTGACATTTCCTGTTTTTATAACAGAAAAAGGTAAATCCAGGTGCATGAGCACATAAATAACACAGATTTCAAGTCTGGTTTAAATACTTCTAAATTAAAAATCTTCCATGTAAGAACAGCAGTTAATCAAACTATGAGCATTAGCTTCATTGTAAGTTGATTTTTATAAAGCATCTCATATTCCGAGTATTTGGACACCTTTGTTGACTCTTTACCCTTCTGGAAAAAAAAATCTATTTCTGAAGAATTGTTTTTCTATTGGCTGGTTCAGAGCAGGGTCTGAGTGAAATTTTATTTGTTAGATCAAATAGATCGTATTGCATGTAAATTTAAAACCACATCAGATCGTGTCCAGAATTATACTATCACTCCATCAAAATATATAAAAGATGCTTAAAAGGAATCACAAGCATTTGTAGGGGAGAGGGAGGAAGTCCAGTAAATATTAATTAGGCGGAATAGAAAATACCAAGTGATGTCTCTATGCCAGTATTCTGTATATTCCTCTCCTCTTCCTGCATAAGGAAGACTGAGATAATCATGGTAGCACTCATGAGGTCTACTACCTCTCCTCCCCCATGTCCCCACCAAAAATTTGCTAAGTGGGGTTTCCTCCACATGCCCTCTTTCCGTCCCTATGGGTGGTCCTCCCTTCACTCCCTCCCCCACAGGGTCCAGTTACCCATGAAGATAGTCTCTCCATAAATGCACTTATTGAGCTGACAACTGTGAAGGTCAGTAAAATAAGCATGTCAGCATCTCCGTTCTAGAGCGTTTATGAAGAGGACGTGATGTCTTCCCAAGCATATACATAGTGAAGCTGAGCTAGATGGATTCTGTTGCTCCACAGAATGGAAAGGTGGTAGCAGCAGGGCTAACCCTGCTGCTGCCATGTGGGGATAGGCTCTCCCTGTAGCCTGGTGGTAATGACTCAGGCTGGTCCGATTTACATGTCTCCTCATGGTAGCACAGTTGTGCTTCCTGGGAAGGACTGAAATCTTTCCATAGCTACAAGCCAGGGAGAGATCAAGCTGTGTGGGCAGGGAGGGGGTGCACTAGAGCAGCAGTTCTCAATTGCTGGTCTGCGAACTCCTGTCTGCCGGGCTGCGTCATGTTGCCAGGCCACACCCCCAACTTTTATTTAGCCCCACCTGTCCAGGGAACTCCCTTTCTACCCATTTCTCCATTCAGAAGCAGGGTGAGTGGGGCAGCAGGCAGCCAGGACCCAGTAGAGACAGCCTCACCATGGCCCCAGTTCCAACACCGGTGACCATGTGGAGATTGACTGCCCTGGCTGACGAGGCCAAGCACAGCATGGAGAGCGGCTTCCCCTGCTACCCTGTTCTCCTCCTTCCCCACTTGCTGGGAGCCTCCCTCTGGCCTCCAGCTGCTCCCATCAGCAAGCACACACATTATTACTATGCATTATTAAGTGCATAGGAAAAGATGAAAGTGCAGAATGTGTCAGCACGGTCAGGTCTGTTAACTGCTGCCTCTTTAATTCTGGTGCAATTGAGGCCAAAGGTTTGGTCTGTCTTTAACAAGTATTAGTAACTATTTTATTGGTTTTTTTTAAAATGTGTGTGCAGCAGTTTTTCAAATTCTTGTTAACCATCATATCCCTCCTCCTTTGATTTGCCTGATATACCATGGGATAAAATTACCATAATAAATACTCAAATATGCAAATAAATTAATTACTATAATGAAGATGCAAATATTTCAGTGCCAGTCTGCTAACAGTTTATGGATGAGTTTGCCGGTCTGTGGTATAAAAGAGGTTGGGAACCACTGCACTAGAGTGAGGCTGTGCTTTGTGTGCTTTTTGGCATTGGGATATAAAGAGGATTTGTAAAACTTTTTAATGATTTCTTAAATAATGCTAACATATTTTTAAAACACACCTTTCATCCTGCTCTAGACAGGCCTCAGAGCTTTGTTTGGCCTGGGCTGGCCCAATATAGCATGTGAGATGTGCAGACTAGTGCTTCTGCTCCCCCACCCCCCATGATGGGACCCTCACTCCAAAGGAGTGGCAGTCAGGAAGTGCATGGCCAGGTAGGAGTTAGGGGCCAAAGGAACCAGGAGCAGTGAGAGACCATGTGACTATCCAGGACAGCTGCACAACAGTCTATCAAAGAAAGTACACTGATCCATGATAGGTCATATTCATCCCTGAAGTTAGACTCCAGAGAAGGATTTGTCTTGGGAGATTAACTGCAAGAGAGGGAGGGAAGCATTGTGCTAAAATACAAGGTCAAGTGGGATTTGTGGTAAAACTTCTAGTTAGGAGGTAAAATATTAAGTATTAGGTGTTAATCAATTTAGAGATTTTTAATTTAAAAAAAAAACAAGGGGAAAGCACACTGATGTGACATCCGTGCCAACTGGTTGTACTGTCACTGTGGTGCAGGCAAGCAAAAGATTTTTTTTTTTATTGGTCTTGATTTAAAAGGAAAAACCTTTGTGTTAGGCCTTGCCTGCACTTGGAGTTTGTCCCATGTACAGCTGTCGGTGTTCCTCATACTTGTAGTCTGGACAAGAGCAAGTATGGTGTACCCTGACTGAAACCCAGTGATACTTTATCAGTGTAAACCGTGGCTTCTTTGTCTATACATGGGGTTTGTATGGAACTGCTGCATCAGTGACTGGCTGTCGATTATTAGAATTGGGGAAATCTCCCGGTGGTAGACAGTGTTTTGTTGATTAAATTTCCCACGTTGATCTTTTTCAGAGTCTGTGTTTAAATATTGTAAAGGCTATTTTGTTTTTAGTCTCCTCGCACCATCTAGGTCACCAGTGTAGCTTTCCCAGTGGATGCAGAGACATAAACACAGTACAGGAAAAAATGTTGCTGGTGGTTTAAATCACCATATCATGTAGATTTAGCGCTGCACTGGTGTTAGCCCTTTATTTTTCAGAAAGTCTTTTGTGTAAACAGGGTCTCTCTCACACCTTTTGCTTGTAAAAATTAGGAAAGAGAGTGTTGCTCAGTGGCTTGTAGCCTCTGGGCCATTTACCCTTCCCAGTGTTGTCAAATGAACAACTTTAAAAGACAGGGTTAGCTGTTCAAAGTGAAAGGAAAAGACACAGGACATTGTCTTCCTGAGTGCAGATTGCTTATGCAAAGCCTCAGAGCTGTGAGCATCCCATTATTTACTTACAGCAAAATAAACAATACTTAATCCATTGATTATGTGAGCAGAGCTCCTTCTGAGAGAGCACCTTTTGATTACGGAAAATCTCAAGTCACGCATCTTTGTCTGATAATTATGGTAAGAACTGCTCGGCCCTTTATTATGGTAATAATTGGCCATTCTTTTATGGAATTAACCTCTCTGGGTAGCCTCTCATCCCATTGAAATCTCTGGATGCCACACCCTAATTAGCATCATTAGTTGGATAGAGCAACATTGTCTCACTCTCTTGCAGTGACCATTATCAGTGGGAGGTGGCACAACAGTGCTGTTTTTATCCTCTTCCTCCCCTGCTTGGATTATTTAAAGAAGCCAGTGATTTCTCTGCAGCCTGGGCAGCAGCAGGGCTCCAGCTATTTTGGCAAGTTTATATCAGAGCATTGATATAATTAGCAGAGCTGGGAAACCGCTACGCAGCCAACAGGGAACACGAGAAATCCCACACAGAGAGGCTTGCTTCTCTGGAATCTTTTGTGGCTCCCAGTTGCTGTCAAACATGGGAACATGCCTGTAAATGTCACCTGATAGACAACTCACAACTGCATCAGCAGCACCAGCAAAACTCAAGAAGTATGAAACGTAAGGATTTCCCGAGGAGAAACCTCTAGAGGCAGCGTGTGAGGTTTCTCTTCTTTCCTTTGGCAAGTACAACGGAACAGGCTTAAAGTAAAACCTGGTGTTTTAAAAAATGTACATACACACCAAAAATCTTTTCACTTACTTGGTGGTTTTATTCTACCCAAAGATTACCTTTTATTTGCACAGCTTTAGGGGGACCCAGTGACTATTTTCCCTATCCCTAACACTCATTCTTCTGTCCCAGCAGAAAAGAGATTAGGGAGGAGCTATTCATTTTGGAGGCTAGCTAGACACATTTTAAAATGCATGTTTTTATTTAATTGCAATGGCAAGGTGAGCTCATATGGCTTCACGTGTG